AGGCCTCTCTCATCTTTTTAAGTGGGAGAACTTGCACAATTGGTGGTTGACTAAATACTTTTTTGCCCCACTGTAGGTCACAGCAGGAGGGGGCATCTAGCTGACCTTGGCTAATTTTGGAAAAATTAATCAGGGTTGGTCCTGATTAGCACAAGAATGGGAGACCACCATTAAATCTCAAGGCTAGAGAGTGTTTGACTACAAGAATAATGCTGTTTTGTTCCCTTCTACAAAGGGAAAGATAGCAAGAGTGAATATAAAAACTACAGAGAATTCATTTCTGAAGTGTGTCTAGGAAGGTGTTTGGCAGAATTCTGATAGAAAAGGTACAAGAAGCGACAATGGCCAAAATTTAGGAAATGCAGTGCAGCTTTATACCATGTAGTGATGCACATATTATATTTTTGCCCTTCAAATTATCATTAAGACCCACATGAATGTAGCAAGAAAATTATGTTTGCTGATTTAGTGAAAGTGTGTGATAAAATAAAAAGGCTGGAATTATGGAATATTTTAGATGACTGTGGAGATGAAGGGTGGTTGCTGAACGCCGTAAGAGTGATATATGTTAGAAAGAAAGCATGGGTGAGAATAAATGGAATGCTTAGCAAATGGTTGGATATTGAGCAGGGAGTAAGATGAGAATGTGTGTTGCCCCCTTGGTTATTTAATGTATTGATAAATAAATGTATAAGAATACTAGTGATGTCATTAGCAGTGAGTTGGTTGGGATGTGAATTTTGTGTAGCTTTGTATGAAGATGATACTGTGTTGGCTGAGAACCCAAATGATTTGCAGTGAATGTATGGTTGTATGATGCAACAAGGAATATAGATCTGAAAATGAATGTATCCAAGGTCAAGGCAGTTGTGTATAACAAGAAAATTGAGTCAACTCTGGCAAGTTATATATAAATGGCAAAAGACTAGAACAAGTAGATAAGTTGTGTACTTTGGTAGATGAAAAAAATGGATTAAGAAATGTTCAGATGTGCAAAGATAATAGGCAGCAGATAGTATAAGGTATGTTATAAGAAATAAATATTTGAAAGAAAAGCAAGAATGACTGTGTTTCTCTCCAGTTTGTTATATGAAAGTGGAAGTTGATATGTCAGGAGAAATATAAAAATAAGTTGAATGCAGAGCAAATGGGTTACTTAAAAGGTATGAGTGGTAAAACAAGAAGGTAGAGTAAAAAAAATGATTGGTTGGTAAATGAATGTATATCGAATACAAAACAAAGTAACCGGTATTAAATTCTTATTCTTACTAGTTTTGGGCACATAGAGAGGTTGAATGAGGAGAAATTCCAAAACCAATACAGATAGTCCTCACTTAATTACCACAATTGGGACCAGAATTTAGGTTACTAAGTGATGTAGTTGTTAAGCAAATCATCATGTAACCAGACCCAATTTTACAACCTTTTTTGCAGTGGTTGTTAAGCAAATCACCTGGTCGTTAAGTGAATCATATGGTAGTTAAGTTCCCCATTGATTTTGCTTGCTGGCAGCTGGCTGGGAAGGTTGCAAGTGGCAATCACATGACCCCTGGACACTGCAATCGTCATAAGTGCAAGCTGATTGCCAAGTGCCCAGATCATGATCATGAGGCCCTTGGGGCACTGCGATGGTCATAACTTTGGGCACTGGTCATAAGTTACTTTTTTAGCACTGTCATAACTTCGAGCAGTCGCTAAATAAATGGTAGTTAAGCGAGGGCTACCTGTATATGAAAGAAGAGCAAATAGGTTGGAAAGGGAAAGGCTGAGGCTGGATGGAGTTGATGAGATCCTCAAAGAGAGGTGAGAAGTTGAAAGAACAGAAAGAAATGCATGAAATAGGGAATGGAAGTGGTTGGAACTAGGTTACAACCTGTCCTTTGCAAGACAGAAAGCTTTGGGGAAGCACAGTAAATTGCAATAGTGTAAACTAGTTTCCTTTTCTTTATCTCATGCCTTTAATTTCTTTAGTTTATTATTTCTTTCTCCTTTTCTGCACTCTGCATAAAACTGTTTATCTCAAATGGGAATAGCAGGATGGATATGTATACATTTATGTTAAATATTTATGTGAAAGCCAGGTAGGATATTATTCGTTTTTAAGGTTGAAAGTGGATTAGCATAATACAGAGCTTAAAACATTATTATGCCATAAAACAGCTGGGAGGGCGGCCAAGGGAGGTTAGCCTTAGCTAAATTAAATTAATATCCTAAAGCAGGCTAGGCCATAACCAGCCAAGAAAAACTACTTGCAATTGAGGCAGAAAAGAATTGAAGGACAGGTGAAAGGCATGTTGCCTAAGTGGAACTTAGCAGCTAGTACCAGCTACTCCCCCTTGCCTACCCACCCCCACCTCAAACTCTGCTTGAAACTCAGGCTGTTCTTTTCTTGCAGGGCTGCGTGGGGGGTTGCCTAAGGAAATCACCTATTTGGGAAACACTTCAGGGGCTTCTTTCTAGTTTTGTAGGGAGCAACCAGAGATGAAACATTATCAGGAGACAGCTATAGCATAAGGAGTGCAACACATCTTGAGAAGCTCAGTGGGTAAGCACACAGCTATGCCAATTACATGATGGTGAGTGATGAAAAAGAGGCTTAATTTGCAACTTTAATAATGTCTCAAGTAGCCATCCAGCAAACCTTCTACACCACTTCGTGCCAAGATGTACATTGCTTTTGTTGCAGTAGCTAGTGAGGTGTTCAGTGCACCATATGGTTCATTACAATATGTAGAATTAATTTAAATTCTAAAGGCCAAGATGGTGAAGAAGAGTTTCACTGCTATACTGCCTACAATGTTCCCTCCTGACCCTTGCTCATCTTAATTTTTTTGAGCTAGCTGAAGCAGATGGTGAAGCTCTTTGCATGATGGAGTGGTGTCGCTGCCTTAAAAGGGATGATGGTGTTCCACTCCTGTAAAAACTCTCCATTTAGAAGTTTATGGTAAATAATTCGCAGATGCTTCTACAGTTATCACTGTAACTAGAGGCCTAACTGTCTTCTGTAGTTAGGGATGCCTGTTACCGACCTTAGCTGACTGAGCAGCTGTGTCCTTCCTGAAGAGGAATAGTCTAACCACAGTTGTCCAAGTGCTAATGATCTATCATGTCTAGATATGAGTGGGGCACTCATGCATATATTACATCTGTGCTGAAACAACTGATGTTTCGTTTTGTTTTGCTTTTTGTGCCTTCAAGTCAGTGTTGATTCCTGGTGACTGCCTGGACTAGTCCCTGGCAACATTGTCAGAAGGGGTTTGCCACTGCATTTTTCTAGGGCTGAGAGAGAGTGACTGGCCCAAGGTCACGCAGCTGGCTTTGTGCCGAAGGCAGGACTAGAATTCATAGTCTCCTGGTTTTTTTCCTCGTACTTTAACAATAACCCCAAATGGGCTTTTGAAACAATTGTACTAGCCGCAAATTAGCTCCAATTGCTGGCTTATTAGCTACTATTCCTGCTATTAATTAGCTTCCAAGCCATCACCGGCATGTGAAAACTCTGAACAGCTTGGGAAAAGAAATCTAGTAATACTTTCCACACAGCAGGTGTTGGAAGGCAAATACAGGAAAATCCCCTTTGCTGAACAAAGATGCCCCTATGATGTAGGTACAACAGAACCACAGCCCATGTTTTGATATACTGCCAGTATTACAGAGACTCTCTTTGTAGCTGATTTCCCCACTCCCTTCTAAATTCCCAGGACAATTCTGTGTTCCTAAACAATGCTAAGTTTTGTTATACCATGTAAACTCTGCCCTGCTATGAGTAGTCATAATAAGGTCTATTCATCCCCAACCGTAACATTTAGTAGAATGCCTTCTCTACTATACACTTGTTTAACCACTGAGCTTCTCTAGGGAGGCCCTATTAACAGTGCCATTAATTGTCATCTTATGATCACTTGCAGATGGGCCTCCTTGATGGCGCTGCCTTCTCTTTGGAATGGTTTTCCCCCACGTTTGAGGGCGCTTGCCTTTATATTGGCTACAAAGTCCTATCTTTTCAGGAAGGTCTTCCCTGTATAAATAGTAGAGACAAATGTTTATATATTTGTATTAATTTACTTATTCCTCTTCCATTCATTTTAATATGCATATTTTATATTAACAGGGTTTTTGTTGAACAGGGTTTTTTTTTCAGTTTGACTGTGAAATATTTTATGGGAAGCAGTATATAAATTTTTAAAAATAAACAAATAAATACAATTAATCTGCATGGTAATGATGCAAATTACCTGCAAAACTTTCCCTTGGGGGTTCTCTTCGAATGACAATAGCTGCTGGTAAAGAGGTTCCAGCGTTTTTCTTGCCACCTTTGTTTTCTTTTTGGCTATACAGACTCCATTTTCTAATAGATACACCTTTACATATGGTGCTTTGGAGGGGAAAATATAAAGAACTGTTAAGAAGACAATTTCCACATTAGCTACACCCTTGAGCAATTAATAATATTTAGCCAAGAAGTGCTTCAACTGAATATATCTTCACACAGTATGGTGCATTTATGAGTCACCAAAATGAATTACTTGTGCAAGCTTTTCTTTCCTTCCTTTGTCCCCCTTCCCTAGCATTGGGGATAAGCAAATACTAGTAGTATTGCTTCAGGGTTCAATAGATGAGGTCTCCTGTACTAAGCAAAGCAGAAGGGCAATTCACAGTTGTAGCTCTGGATCCCAAGAATACTAAGACTTTTCATGCATATGTCCATGTAGCATTACTGACGTTCTTAAAACAGTTTTATGATTTACTATATTAATTTCATATATCAAAACTGGAACAGAATTAAGCAAGTTGAATTCAAAAAAGTAATACACTGTATTATTGCAGATGTCATCTCTAAAGAAGACAGCCTTACAGGGAAGTTCAGTAGTGTAAAGCCTAGGCTACTATAACTAAAGTAGGTAGTAGTTCTTTTACAAGTCAGTATAACAAACAGATTGCTCATATGCTATCACAGCATTTATCGTTCTGGGAGCTAAGCATACGTCTCTTACCTGGCAGTGTCTTTGAACCTGGTTTTACAACAAGGCCTCGTGCTCTTATTATTTCCACTTCCAATTGTCCCTTTTTGTCCATCATTCCAACTTGGATATCACCTAAGGAGACAAAAAATGCAAGTACTTAAATGAAAAGCAGATACAATTATTCAAAGTAAATCCCTGTTGCCTATTACACACACACACACACACACACACACACACACACACAGAGCACCTGTGGTCATATAAATAGACCTTAAAGTAAATACTTAAATAATTAATCTGTACCTCATCATTAACTCACTTAGTTTAACTGAAATTATATCTGATCACTCCTGATTGCATTAGATTCTTACTTACATATTATAATTAATGGACTGAACAATAGATTTTAAATTTCTACGATAAGAAATTTATAGCATGGACAGCAGTTCTCAACTGGGGGCCCTAGGATATTTCAAGGGGGCCACAGTTGAAAAACATATAACAGAGGGCCATGGCATGTGTCAAGGGGGCCACAGAAAAGCAATGTGTATTATACTGCAAATACTGTCCAGTAGACACTAGAAAAGGCACCAGTTATTGACCCATGTCTGTATCCATAACAGGACCTGGACAGGGGGCCACAGGAGAAAAACAAGTTGGAAGGGGGCCACAGGAGAAAAAAGGATGAGAAACACTGCTATAGGATACATTTTCCCGAAGTAAAGCCTGATCAACAAGCTAATGGTGAAAATAACTCCACTGGTTTTCCTTAATATACAATATACAGTGGTACCTCTACTTACGAACACCCCTACTTATGAAATTTTCGAGATACAACCAGCTCCGGCCCCAAAAATTTACCTCTACTTACGAACTTGCCTACTTATGAAATTTTCGAGATACAACCAGCTCCGGCCCCAAAAATTTACCTCTACTTACGAACTTGCCTACT